GGAGCCGCCGCTGCTCTTTCCCTCAAATATATATGTATACATATATTCTAGTTCATATGTTAATCATACAAGTCTTTGAATTTCTTTTGTGTGCATCAGTTTGTTTGTGTGTGATTGCACTCTCTTCATAAAAAAACTATAGAAATTGTGAATTCTAAGAAAACTAAGAATGTCAAAGTCCAAGATATTACTAAATAACCTCTGCCTTCTTTTTTCTTGCATAAATTGCTGAGTATAAATCCCTTTATTGCATAATAAAGCTTAAATATTTTTAAACATTTTTTTTTCTATGGGGACATGGAGTTAAGCGCTGGTTGCTCTGGCATGCTAATTGCTTGGGATTGAAAGAGTTCAATTATTTTAATGATATAATGCTATCATCTTGAATAGGTAAACATCTGCAATAGTTCGCTAAACTTTGTGAAGCGGTGCTGCCTGAGGAGGCCTACCAAGCTGGCTAGCTGGGGCCGGTTCATCCTTTTGCTAGACCAGCCGGCCCTCTTGGGGAAGCTGGAATTGCCGCCCCAATTTCTCTTCCTTTTCTTTCCAATTCTTTCTTTCCATTTCCCATTAATCTCCTATTATATGTCATTGCCTATTTTTATTTCTTTCCTTTCTAATTTCTTTCTTATTTTACAAGCATTGCTTATTTCTACTTCTTTTTTTTTAATTTCTTTCTTATTTTACAACATTGCCTAATATAAGTCCTAATTTCTATTATATATATCACGGTGTTTTGCTTAGGGAATTTTGTTTTTGGGGATTGTTCGGAGTTCAGATTCCTGTGCAGAGTGTTTCCCCTCTTATAGGGCTGTATCCGAAGAGGTTGTTGTGCTTCGGCTGTATCCTACTTCGAGGTGGTGTCGTGTATTCTTATTTTTTCTGTCTAGCCCTCCACCATCCTTTTCAGCCGCCAGCCTTCAACATTGCCTAACCGCCTCTACCACCATCCAAACAATATCCCAGCATGCTATCCGACCATTTCCGCCGTTGTCCGATCATCCCCGTTTGCTGTCCAACCTTTCTGCTTGCTGACCCTTCTTCCATCTGGCATCCACCTTTCCCAAATGCTATTCTTCCTCCCCAAACAGTTGTTTTGCCTCTCCAAACCTACTATCCAACCCCCAAGTCCTGCCATGCAGCCTGCCTAGCACTCCAGCAAGCCACCACTTTGTTGCTGTCTAGCAAGACTCCTCTTTCCGCTGCTGTGCAATAGGACTCCTCTTTCGGCTGCTGTCCTACGTGTCGGCCACCTTCCAACACCCTTATCGGCTCGTCCCGGCTACCGGCTAGTCCCATAGTAGCTTCCTTTCTACCCTCCTGATCTACCGCCCTCCTCTAGAGGGAGCCGTTTATCTCTTTTATGTGGTTGTCCCTTATCTTATCTTGCAGTCGTTATTGTTGCTTATTGTTTGCATGTTCTTGTGTTGTTTTTGGTGAAGAGTCATCTTGTACTTTCTTTGAAGATTTTTGTCGTTTGGTTGTGGTTTGGGTTAACTCTGATATCATTTGGTATAAGATCTAGCCTAACCCTAGTTCTATCTTAGGGTTTCTCTAGGGTCCGTTAAATTTTTTCTGTCTCGTTCTTTAACTTTTCGTTATGTTTTTTCTTTTCTTCCGCATATCTCAAACAATCAACTATGCCCCCAAGGAGAAATATGCCTGAGCTTACGTGGGAAGAGATACGGCGAGAGCTCCGCCATCTTCAGCAGAGGCATGCAGAGCTTGAAGAGTTAACTCATGAGGTGATTACCTTTGACCAGGAACTATAAAGTTGAAGGGGAGAAATAAATGACAATCTGAATCTCTTCCATGGGGATACTTTCAGCGATGAAGACATGTCGCGACGTTTCAGCGCACAATATCAGAGGAGGCCTAGAGAGGAATATCTGAATCCCTCTCAGAGGGAGAATCTCCGAGAGATGTCATTTGGAGGACACAAAGACTTCGACATTAAAGTGGATCTGCCAAAGTTTGAGGGAGGTATGGATCCGAAAGACTTTATTAATTTGTTGCAATATATTGAACTAATATTTGAGTATAGATATGTGCCAGAGGATGAGAGGTCAAATTAGCTACCATCAAATTGAGAAAAAAGTTCCTCTTTGTGGTGGGAGAAGATAGCTATAAGATAATCAGGTGGAAAAAGATGAAGAAAACGATGCAAATGAAATACCTCTCATGCCATTATGTTTTTGAGGCTCCAACAATTGCTGCAGAGGGATCTGTCAGTAGAGGAATTTACGGAGCAGTTTGATCAGTTGCAGATGAGGCATGATCTGGTCAAGCCAGAAGAGCACACTGTAGCCCATTATTTGGGGGGTTTGAAGCCAGCTATTAGCAATGTAGTATAGCTTCAACCTTATTCATCACTTGGTGATGTTCAGACACTACCTGAAAGTGGCGAGACAGTAGAAGCAGAGCAAGAAACAATCACCATCAGACAAACAATCACCTACAGTTACCACGACCGAAAAGGGTACCCTGAGGACTAGCAAGCTCGGAAAAGAGAATGACACTCCGGATCAGAGTGGGAATAAATGGGAGAAAGATAGCTCCTCCAACACCGTAGCGTCCTGGAAGTATTTCAGATACCACGTCTACGATCACATAACCTTTAGCTGTCCCATGAGCAAGGTAGTCACACTTACAGATTAGGGTGTCGTGGAGGAGATTAGCGATGAGGAGAAAACTGAGGAACGCGACGAGGTGTATCAGCTTCCCTTAGATGGAGTGGCACTCGTGATTCAACGGACCCTGTAGACTGAGGACACAACGAATTTACAGTGGCTTTGTCACAACATTTTCTACAACCGTTGCACTATGAACAATAATGTATGCAGTCTTATCTTCAATGGCGGGAGCAACAAGAACGTGACATCGACTCTAATGGTAGATAAATTGGGAGTTGTGACTCATTGGCATTCCCGACCATATTCACTAACGTGGCTGAAGGAGAATCGGGTCAGCATTGACCTGAGATGCCTGGTAGATTTCTCGATAGGAGGCCAGCTACAAGACCAGATGTGGTATGACGTGGTCCCAATAAATGCAGGTCACATTTTGTTGGGATGACCGTGACAGATTGACCAGAGGACTCAACACAATGAATTTAGAAACACATATTTCTTCACCAAAGAGGGGAAGCACATCATTCTACTTCCCTCGGTGAATGTCGAGATTGCGGGAGCCTTTATCAGCAGAGCGACATTAGTGGGACCAATTTTAGTGCTGACACCAGATGGGACGACTGAGACACCCGCTCCAGATAAAGGACCGATACGACCAAGGATATTTCAAGGTCTCACGGTCGACACAGTACCACTAGTATCACCATCATGGGGGAAGGTTTAGGTTACTCTCACTGCACGCTCGCTTGAACCAACCTTGGGTTATTTAAGAAAGATTCAACAGTACGTGCAAGACACGCAGTAGGAAACTAGACCGAGCTGCATGTACACTCAAGTGCGACCAAGAGTGCGATCCAGGTGCAACCGAGATTGAAGATAAGGAACGAAAAGCTTCAATGAATGAGGTTGAAGCTCCCCCAAGCCCGAGAGACTGACACAAGACTGCTTGAGGAGGCCAACCAAATAGGCCTAACTGGGGCTGGTCCAGCCTTCTGTTGGTTAGGCTGGAATTGACGCCCTCCTCTTCCTTTTCCCTCCAATTCTTGATTTCCTTTTCCCATTAATCTCCTATTAGAAATCGTTGCCTATTTCTATTTCTTCTCTTTCTAATCTCTTTCTTATTTTACAAGCATTAATTATTTCTTGCTCTTATATTTTTAATTTCTTTCTTATTTTACAATATTGCCTAATATAAGTTCTAATCCCTATTATATATATGGGGGTGTTTTGCTCAGGGAATTCAATTTTTGGTGATTATTATGAGTTTAGATTCCTGCGTGGAATGTTTCCCCTGTTATAGAGCTGTATCCGAGGAGGTGGCGGTGCTCCGACTAAATCCTACTCTGAGGTGGTGTTATATCTTCTTCCCTTTTCCAGTCCAACCCTCCCTCCACCCTCCTTCTTAGCCTCCAGCCTCTTAGCATTGTCCAGCTGTCCCTGCCGCCACCCATACAATATCCCAGCATGCTGTCCAACCATTTCGCCTCTGTTCAGTTATCCCCGCTTGCTGTACAGCCTTCCCGCTTGTCACCCCTTCTTCCCAACTACGGTCCACCTTTCCCACCTGCCCGGCTCCCCAAATCTGCTATCTAGACCCCACAACCTGCCTTCTAGATTGCCGACCACTCTAACAGGCCTCCACCTTGTTGCTGTCCAATAGAACTATCCTTTTCACTGCTGTCCTGCGTGTCGACCACCTTCCAATGCCTCTCCCGACTCGTCCCAGCTACCGGCCAGTTCTATAGCAGCTTCCTTTCTACCCTTCGGATCTTCCGCCCTCCACTAGAGGGGGGCGTTTATGTCTTTTATGTTGTTGTCCCTTCTCTTATTTTGCAGTCATCATTGTTGCTTACTGTTTACATGTTCTTGTGTTGTGTCTGTTGAAGAGTCGTCTTATACTTTTTTGAAGTTCAGATCGTGGTTTGGGTTAACTCCGGTATCACTTTGTTGCAAGTAAATTGTTTGTGCTATTTTTCTAATACGTGTACAAACTTTCAGTGCAAATTTTTTTGATTATATTGTTAAAATTTTAGTGCAACGGTTGACATTGATTAAACTTTTGCAGGCTCCTATAATTCTTGAAATTCTGGACAAAATGAAGCAGAGAGCTCATCCTTTCTATCCACAGGTGAACTTTGCTCTTATGGTGCCCTTGGTTGTCATTTCAATGAAAATACATGTTCATTGTGCATGTTTTCTGTCTTTCCGATGATTGCCTTGGTTTTATGCAATTTGCTTTGCTGTTTGAGAGGCAAAACTGATGTATAAAACAAATCCTGGTTTGACCTTGTAAAATAAGTTTGCAATACATCTAAACATCTTTTGAGGAGTTACATGCTGCATAAAAATGTTAATTAATGAATGATCTGACATTGAAACGTAGGAGATTGGTATTACTTGATATTCTGCATGACAAAGCTAATATTTTGAACCTTGATGCATTTTTTCCATAAAATTTCTGCCTTGGTTTAGCAGTTCTTTATCATTGAGTTGTATTTAAACGGAAAATTTCTTTTGCTTATTCCTGCAGTTATTAATGGTTGATGGTAATGGGATACTTCATCCTAATGGTATGCTCTGAAAATTTTGCTGTTTATTATTACTTATGAAACCTTCATTGTTCAACATTTCACCAACTTGTTAGAGAATTTCATACACAATTGATAATTTTATGGGCACTGGAATGGAATTTGTGTGTACTAATTCTTTTTTTGTGAAACTAATTTATGTTCAATCCAAAGTGTGGATCTATTAAAGCATATGAAACATTCAAATACCTAAGAAATGAATCATATGAGATGAAGATCATGCATGAAAACATGAATTTATATCACGAGCAATTATGTTTTAATTTTTTAGATCATATTAAACATACTAGAAACAAAAATTTAATTCAATTATAAAAATTAAATCATTTAGAGCATAATATAGATTAGCTAAAATGTAAGAAATTAAGTGATGGTGACCATCTGTTTCAGGATTGTTTCAAAGATGACAGCGTGATTAATAAAATAGTCTATTTCTGTATATAACTTCTGTATTTTGCGAAATCTGTATTTTATTTTAGGAGCATTATTTTTTTATACATCTAACACCTAAATTTTCATATTTACATGCTTTACTCTCAAATCTTTATCATCGCATAAAAAATATCACTGTTTCTAACTTTTTAAAAATGAAATACACCTTTTCATGCATAAATTTATGACACATAAATATCAAATTTTAGGCGATGAATGGGTAAATACATAAGAATTGTGCGATATGCTTGTAAAATTCCTTTTATTTTATTAGGGTAATCTGTGTCACTTACTAGGCCTTGAAGGCAGCTCTCCCGTACATGGGATATAATCTCAAATTCAAGATCAATTAAACTCGTGGAAAAGTTTTATGTACATTAATCAATAGGGAAATAATAATTCCTGAAAAGTAGACGAGAGAAACTATTTCATAAGAAAAGACCTCCTAAACTCTACTATTTATTTATTTTAATAGAAAATTGATAAAATAAATATCCATGTTTATCCCCATTCCCCTGCTTTCCACTCTCCATATACTTGCACAGATCTCGCATGATGGCTGCGCAATCCTCACGTAATAAAAGAAAATGAAAAAAAGAATGTTCTGCTGCTTCAGTACGGTACAGAAGAGTTTCGGCATCTTATTCTGCATTTCAAGCTTTCTTTTTTTTTTTGACCGCCTGATCGTGATTGGCAAAAGAGAAACCTTTATCTTCAACTTAAGAATCTTTTTACATCCCTCTCCCATCAAAGTTTTTCTATCTTAACCTCAGATTTTGTGAGTTTCGATGGCTGTTAAATAACCTGGATTCCGTTACATTTCTCTACAAGAAACAAAATATTACTTGCACAGGTGCACGTTAATAAGTGTTCATATTGTTTATCAAGCCTTATGTTATTTGATCTGACATCCAACCATTTTGGTTGTGAATTTTCTTTCTTGTTTGTGGTTTTTACATACATAGCACATTACATATCTCACACCTAATCTTTCATATTTACTCACATAACACTTAAATATTTAATATCACATAAAAAATAGCCATATTACCACGTTTTAAAACTGAAATACACATTTTCATGCATAGATATGAAAGTTTAGGTGTGAGATATGTAAATGCAATGAATTGTGTGCTACTTATGTAAATTTCCTTTTTTTTTTCTTGCATCTATATACTTCCCATGCGGTACTTGATAGTACTATGCACTGTGCAGGCTTTGGTCTAGCCTGTCATCTTGGCGTCTTGTCTAACATCCCTGCTATAGGGATTGGGAAAAATGTAAGCTTTTTATTTTCTGTATTTACCACATTAAAATAACAAGGAGTGCAATTTTTATTGAATTAGATGCTGCTAGTTTGTTGTTGATTGTAGGGATTGTTTCACCCTCCTAAGAAACTTTGTGCTGAAAGTTTAGAAATCATTTTGTGCTGCCATTTGTCATAAAGATTTTACGAAATAAGTGAAATACTACTAAAGATGTGCGGTGCATGTGGCACACTCCAACTAACCCTCTTTTATGGTCAACTGCAGTGCGACAGAGACGAACGATTCTGTCAAATAAAATTATTTTCGACACTCATCTTGACTTGAATAATCAGGACCCAGTGGGTGATGAACTAGTTTAATTAAATCACCAACATATATAATATATTTCATTTGATAATTCATTCATATTCACATATAATTGGAAACGTTGAAAAAAACATGTCACCAAAATATATAAACCGAGCTGCTAAATCTTAAATACTAAAAGTACGTTTCTAAAAATACGCACACCTTCCAGTATTGACATAATTTATTATTCAAATGCAATTTATCATATAATAATTTTGTCTTACATGCAAGATACCTGAAGTCATATAGGTTTCCCACCCCAGATCAATCAACTCATAACTCTATATAAATCAATTTATATTTGAATTCATTCTTATTTCTTTTAAATCTGACACACTTCCATCATTATGTTTATCCAATAACTTTACTCTGATACCACTTTCTATCACACTATTGGATTCCTCTTTTAAGGTCAACTGTAGTGCGACAGAGGCGGACGATTCAGTCATATTAAATTTTCACCTATACTTGTTCTGACTTGCATAATCATGACCCGATGAGTGATGAATTGGTTTAATCAAATCATAGCAAATGTTCATAATACATTTCATTTCATAATGCATTCACATTCACATATACTTGAAGTGAAAAAAATAATATCGCCAAAACATATATACAGAGCTGTTAAATTCAAAATAATAAAAGGACATGCTAAAAATCTACACACCTTCCAAAATTATACAGTGCAAAAGCTGTACACGTCACACTTGACCACTCGTCCTAGTGCTTCTTATCCATTTTTGAAAGTCAACAACATAGAGTGATATACAACAAACTCAGCGAAATAAGCAATGCTAGATAAATAATTTAATATATGTAAAAGAAACGATGCAAGAAGGATGAGGAAGGATAGAGGAAATATATTCACCATTTCGGGAGTAAGATATAGTTTGAGGACCACTCAGACTATTGATACAACCCTGGAAGGGAAAATAGAGATGCTGACTGCAGTCCCAAAATAAACTCACAAAAAATTGAAGCTCTAAATATCACAAAACAAATAAATAACCCTAGGATAATTAGGAATGGACCCTTCTATTAAAAATAATCATCACCTCCCTTGAAAGAGTCGACCGACCCTCAAATGATCTGAACCAGTTTGGTCCAGGCATTCAGATGTTACTCCCACATCTGTTTAGGCGTCCCACTTGTTACGCCTGCTTCAATCTCCTGGGGCTGGAGGAGCTTTGACCTCATCTGTCGAAGCTTTCTGTCCCCTCGTAGTATGACGTTAGGTTGATCAAGTTGAAGGTAGAGCTACTGTAACGTTTCAGAATTGCCGGGTCTTCAATTGTTTCTATGAGCATCTTGATACCTTTGTCGAATGCGTTGTACTGTAGCACGCTTGAGAAAGGTTTCAGAATTGTGATTAAAAATCTCTATCTGTCCAACCCTTTGTAGGGACCTTGCTGAATTAAACTGGAACATTGTGCCCAGTGTATTCTGCAGAGTCCTTCAAAATTAGCTCAAGATTACAAATCCCTCTTTGACGTGAAGAAGACTGAACCTCCTCTATCGGTAGTAGCCCTGACGATAGGCTGTAAGTCAAAATATCCTAGAATTCTCTTAGTATTTGCTGCCTCGTTCCTGATATTGGCTCTTGTCTTGTTTCATCACTAAAATTAGTCACACCGACGCCCTTCTGTGGCAAGAGCACCTTTATCCTCAAACTCTATAGAAGATGGGAGAAATATGCTTTTTTCATTTTTTGTGAATGAGAATGTGTTCTTGAGCCAATCATGTAGAGTCTTGTGATCAAACTGTCACAGTCTATCCAATAGAATGTGCAGACATCCATGGGCACAACATTACACCACATCTCATACCCGATCCTACAATTGGTCCCCAATAAAAAACTCTATGAGACATCTCCTATCAATGCTAACATTATTGTTCTTCTTCAATGAAGTTAGGGGATATGACTGAGAATGTCTGAGTAGCGAGACTCAACTAATCCACCATCAGTTTAGATCACATTCTTACTACCACCTTAATCGATGATAAGACTGCATATATTTCTCTTCACAGTGCAACACATAAAAAATGTTGTAGCGAAGCCACTGCACTCTCTCCTGGCCTCAGTCTGAATGTTCTGTTGAATTACAAGCATCTCACCCTCATCAACTGGAAACTAGTACTCACCCAACTCCTCAGCTACCTTCTCTCTCACTTCCTCCACGACACTCTGCTCGGTGAAGAAAACAACTCTACTCATAGGGCAATTGGAGACAATGTGTCAATATCCATTACATTTGAAGCATTTTCTGGCTGGAAGTTTGTTGGTCTCAAGCTTCTTTTCTATCTTTCTGGACAGTTTCACATCTTCCTCAGGTGTGCTCCTGCTGATATCTCCAACTATGGGCGGTTGTCTGAATGGTGGTGGGTGCCTGTTCTGTTTCTATTGTCTCTTCTTCAGTGCCAAGTTCTGAACACCACCCAATGATCAGTAGGACTATAGCTGGAAAACATTATTGATGGATGACTTCATGCCTCCCAAATATCTGGCTATAGGGTACAGTTTTGGCTCTATTAGCTTATACTTCAGCATAAGTTGCTCAATTCTACTGTGAACTTCATTGTCAACTCCCTCTACTGTTGGTGGTGGAGCATCAAGAATATAGCCCTAACAGTAGTGTGGGGGTAGGTACTTCATCAACATCTTCTTCATCTTCTCCCAAGTACTGATCTTATTTTGACCTTCTCTTTTTTTCTTTTTCTTCAGATTCTTCCACCATAAAAAGGCACTACTCTTTAACGTTATCGTAGAAAGCTTCACTCTCCTGTCAGTTTGTATCTCCTTTTATTAAAAAATCCACTCTATAGTATGCAACCACTCAATGAAGTCATCCAAGTTCATTCTCCTCGCGAAATCCAACAGGTTCACCTTCACTCCCAGATCTCTCTATCCTCCGGTAGTCACTCCATCATTCGGCCTCCTTTGATGCTAAATCTCAAAGCGACGAGGCCTACCCTCCTTTTCATTGGAATCATTCATACGGATTTTTCGCCCTCCTTTTTTTTGCTATCATGATCGACGGTGATCTCTCCATGGGTCATTTCTTCAATCTCAACAAGCTTTTGTTGAAGTTGGCAGATTTTCCGTAGCTTCTCTTCCATGATAAGTTCTTGAATGACATTTGGCCATTGTCTTCTTGGTGGCTTGGCTAGGGTTTAGTTTTGGAAGGGGTCAAAGGAGTGTATGGGGGTTAGAGTGGGAAATTTTTTTTAGGGTTGATTTTGGTAACCTTGGGATTAGCATAAGGTTAGACTAGCTCTGATATTAAATGATACTTGAGTTTAACAAAAAACAAATGTTAAACAAATATTGTTGCTGAATTCAAATAGGGAATTACAACAAAAAAGAATAAAAAATATAAAATTATAACTAACACAACACATTACACTAGACTGGGGTGGATAGGTGGCAACTAGATGGGTTGGAAGGAGGCGGGAACAAGATACAGCAGCCGATGGCTGCTCTAGATAGGCGACGATAAGCAGGGAGTGGAGCAGGCGGCGGAAAACAAAAGGAATACAACAATTCCTTGCTTTCTTGGATGACAATATGTGGAGAAGTGGAGCATGTAGCAGGGAACAACAAGAAAACAACACCTCCTTGCTGTTCTTGACAACGATAATAAGGGAAGTGGAGCGGGTGGTGGTGGAACATCAGAAAAACAACAATTTATGCTTGTTTTGGGCGGCGACAAGAAGGTTGGAGGGCTGGACCAACACGAAAACAATAGGAAATGGTGGTTTTGGGCGACAACATCAAGGGAGGGAGGCGAGTAGTGATGCGGGAAGGATGAGGAAGGGTAGAGGAATGATAATCACCACTTTGGGAGCGAGATACAACTGAAGAACCACTCAAACCCTTTGATGCAATCCTAGAAGGGAAAATAGAGATGTCGTGGTTGTCCCAAAACAAGCACACAACAAAACTAAATTCCTAAACATCACAAGGAAAATAAATAACTCTAAGACAACTAGGAGTGGGCTCCTCTATTGAAAAGAGGCGACACCTCCCGTGGAAGAACCTACTGACCATAAAAATGCTTGGATCGGTTCAGTCCAGGCATCCAAAAGCGATGCCGCGTCCGTCCATGCATCCCAGTTATGACGCCGACATCAATAAGAGTGTTAAATCGAATATAATTAAGGTTCAACTATGCAATTCAATTTCTGTGATACCCATTGCTTTAACAAAAATGGGAGAGGAAGATTTTCCAAGAAAACCAATGAGGAGTAGGATCGTTGGAGGAGTTGTCTCCATGAGGTCCGTCACTAGGCGTGTCACATCCCAACATAACAAGGAAAATAAATAACTCTAGGATAACTAGGAGTGGGCTCCTCTATTGAAAAGAGGCAACACCTCCCGTAGAAGAACCTACTGACCATAAAAAGGCTTGGATCGGTTCAGTCCAGACATCCAAAAGGGATGCCGCGTCCTTCCATGCATCCCAACATCACAAGGAAAATAAATAACTCTAGGATAACTAGGATAAAGGCGTGTCACAACTGCTTAAGTTTTGGTTGACTATACTAAATTCTCACCAACACTCGTTCTGACTTGCAGAATCAGAACCCAGTGGGTGATGAACTGGTTTAACTAAATTGCTTTAAACATACTTGATACGTTTCATTTCATAATTTATTCATATTCA